GGCTGTGTCAGAGCCAGCACCAGCTCTGCAGTGGCAGAGGACGGGCTCCTTTCTCCCCTGATGCTCTTGCCGCTGTTCATTGCATTTCTTTTTTTAAGCAGCAGCAATACTGAAATGCAGAAATCAACCCAAGGCTGTGCCTGGCTCCTCCTGGCAGGCGCTGGCCTGGGGGTTCAGGGCCATGGGGACCACATCTGCTGCTCCCCGTGAATTGTCCGCCCTTGGCCGTCAGCATCCTGGCGGGAATGGGGGTTTTCAGGAGCACACAGTCACGGGTGCAGCGATCCTGGCTGTCTTGTTGCCTCTTCATTGCGCTGAGCTACCTTCCAGCACAGCTCACTCCAGCACAGTCATCATCCTCTCGCAGCGATGAGACCTCCTCGACGGAGGGAAAACCAGATGCGTGCGCCTGTACGTGTGAGGAGAACACACATGGTTTGATTTATGGTAGTGGGAGAGAACCGGCCCTGACACAGTTTCCATCCGAGTCTCACACTGGCTGTTATCAAAATGAGAAATCCCACGGGCTTGGGAGCTGATTCACAGCGCTGCGTCACCTCGGCCCCTCGGCCACGTCTGGTGCCGCAGGGCTGTGGCGAGTCACACCCTGCTCCTGCCCACTCTGCTGCCCACACCTCTGCCCACACTGCTGCCCACACCTCTGCCCACACCACTCCTGGGGGAATGGCACCCCTGGGACAGTTTTGTTGTATCTCTCCATGCCGTGGGATTTGGGCTGGTCGGGGTAAGCGATGGGGTCGGCAGCAGCACCTGGGCCCCAGCTTCACCCTGCCTGCCCTCACCCTGCCTGCCCTCACCCACCTCTTCTCCCCTGCAGCCGGTTCGGTACGAAGTGTGCCCGCTGTGGCAGGCAGATCTACGCCAGCGACTGGGTGCGGCGAGCGCGGGGCAACGCCTACCACCTCGCCTGCTTCGCCTGCTTCTCCTGCAAGCGGCAGCTCTCCACCGGAGAGGAGTTCGGCCTGGTGGAGGAGAAGGTGCTGTGCCGGATCCACTATGACACCATGATAGAGAACCTCAAGAGAGCGGCAGAGAACGGTACGGAGCCCCACGGTCACGGCCTCGCCCTCGGGACCGTGCAGAGTGTCACTGTCCCTCCTGCTGATCTCATCACAGGGCATCGGGGTCGGTCGTGTTGTTGCCAAAAAGGGGTGATGGGTGGCCCTGGGCTGACAGGGTGCTCGTGGGGGTGGCCAACGTGGTGGCATCACCTGTGGCTCACGGCAGACCTGTGTGCCGCAGGCAGTGCTGGGACAAGAGCCTGGTCCTGCACAGCCCGGCGTGCGGTGCGTGAGGGAGCTGCTGGGACTCTCAGGCTGTGAGTCATAAATCTAGAAGGTGGGATTGGCGATTTGACAAAAACCTTCCCATCATTTTCCACCCACCCTGCCCATCTGGGGTCGTGCCGCTCCCAGCTGGACTGTGCTGAGCCGCGCCGTGGCCAGCCAGCCTCTGGTGTCCCGGTCGGGTTGGTGACACCGAGGTCACACAGCACCACAGCTCCTGTCCCCTCGAGCCTGGCCCCATCCTCCTGCGTGGCAGTGGCCAGAGATGCTTGGGGTTAGTCTGTGGGGTTAGTCCAGCGCAGTGCACAGAGAAGCCGGGCAGTGCCACGGCATGTCCTGTGTTGGAAAGCACCTCGGTGCGTGGTGGGCACAGGGAGGGACCCTCCGTGCCCCGGCCCATGCAGCATGTGGAAACCATTAACAACCTGATGTGAAAATAATATGTTTCTATTTAGTGTGTTTGAGTAAGAGGATGAAAACAGAGTGCCCAGTCGGGCTGGGAGGGTCCCGGCTCAGGACGTGGCTCGTGGCGTGTTGGTCCGTATGGTCAGCTGTGCGGAGGCGCGAGGGAGCCAGTGGGAACAGGAGTGGAGAGGGAGATGCCACGTGGCCTGGAGGAGCAGTTTGGTGTGAGGACAGCAGGATCTGGCACCAGGGAGTCTCGCAGAGCTGTTACCCCAGCCGAGGGCTGGGATGGTGGGCTTTCTGCTGCTCAGAAGGACCTGCTGGGGTGGGCTGAGCACTGCGGTGTTGGGCAGCACTGGGGCACCTGGTGAGTGCCCTGTATGGGTACCTCTGTCCAAGTGTCCCCCCGTTTCGAGAAGGGGGTGGGATCACTTTGGAGAGCTGCAGTTGCTGTGGAGTTGGAGGGCCACGCTCCCCCCTCCAGTAATTACCCAGCAATTTCTTCTGCACATGAGGTTTTACATACAAGAAAAATAAACAGATGTTGCTGAAGTCAGAGTCCCATTCATCATCCGAAAAGAACAAGTCAAACTATATGAGAAAGTCCTTCAACTCCAGCCAAGACAATCACAGCCTGGTCCAGCTTGTGGAGCGAGCGCTGGGCTGTGCAGGCGCATCCTGGGAGTGGGGTGAGCGCCAGCCCTGCTCAGCCTTCCTCCCTCCTCCATCCCTGCTTCACCTACACTGCTGAGAGCAGCCAGGCATGGCCTGGGCTGCAGGGGGAACCCCAGTGAGGAACGAGGGACCCCAGCTCTGGCCACCCTCCTTGTGGGCTGTGTAGCAGCGTGAGCACAGCTGGGCTCAACCCTGAGCTGTGCTCGGTGAGTGGGAGGTTGGTGTCCCCCTGGTGTGTCCCCCTTAGTGGGGCTGCTGCTCCGGGCATGGGCACCCCAAGGCCATGGGGACGGTGTCACTCTGTCTGCTGCTCAGGGACCCAGGAGGAAGAGGAGATCAGGGTGCTGGGAGGATTTGGGGACAGGAGAAAGGAGCAAAGAGCCCACTGAAACTCTCTGAGCAAATGAAACAACTGATGGAGGCAGTGCCAGTGGGGGAAAACGGGGTCACAGGGAGCAGTGCAGGGCAGGAGTGATGGATGTGGGTGAGCCCAGCAGAGACAGGGTCCCTTCCGAGCCTCTCCCTGGAGGATGTGGCCAAGTGGTGACCACAGGTCAGGGCCAGTGGGACATCCCGTGCTTGCCCTCACACACCACCTTGACATCCCTCTTCCTGCTGCTGTCTTCCCGTCCCTTATTCCCCGTGGCTTCCACCACTTGCTGCATTTTTCTTAATTCAACAGTAAACTCTAAGGGAGGTGGTGTCTCCTTCCTGGTGTGTTGAGGGGTTCGAGGGGCAGTGCTGGCTCTGCCTTTTCTGCTCCCACTTGCAGCAAGGGATGCTGCACAGCTCACTGCGATGCCAGGCGTGTTTTCCCTTGGTTGAGGGGATGCTGTGGGTGCCCCTCACTGCCATGCCACTGGCTGTGCTGTCCCCCAGTTGAGCAGCTGCTGCATGTGGGGGTGGCAGGTGGGCAGGTGAGTTTCTGACCTGCAGCTCGTGGTTTTTTCTCCTGCAGGCAATGGGATCACGCTGGAGGGGGCTGTGCCCTCGGAGCAGGACAGCCAGCCGAAGCCAGCCAAGAGAGCCCGCACCTCCTTCACGGCTGAGCAGCTGCAGGTAGGGGGGCTGGGCCGGGGGGGCTGGAGGGGCTGCGCCCCCCTGGCCTCATCCTGAGCCCCTCTCCCCTCTCTCCCGCAGGTCATGCAGGCACAGTTTGCTCAGGACAACAACCCCGACGCGCAGACGCTGCAGAAGCTGGCGGACATGACGGGGCTCAGTCGGAGGGTCATTCAGGTGAGGGGCAACCAGGCAGGGACCAGTGAGGACCAGCAGCCCCAAGCAGGGCAGGGAGGGTTGCACCTGAAGGCTGGCACCAGGCAGGGCTCACAGCCCCGTGGCCCCTGCACATCCACCCCACGACGTGCAGCATCCAGCACGTCGCCTCACTGGCTCCCATAGCCATGCCAGCTCCATCCTGCCTCTGTCTCTCTCGTGGGTTTTCTGTTTGTTTTTCCCTGTTAGGATGCAATGAAATAACCCCCCATTCAGCCCCAATAACTCTCTGGGTGGGAGAGCTGCCCATTAGCACTGTCCCAGAGCTCTGTGCTCTGCCCCAGCTCGGGCAGTGCGGGAGCTCCCCTGGCAGTCGGTAGCAGAGCCTGCCACAGGCAGGCAGAGTTCACAGGCTTCAGGAAGTGTTGAGATTGAGAAGTTTAAAGAAAAAGGGGTTTTGCAGCCTCAGGGGACGTGGTGGCAGGGAAGTCCCCGCGCCTGTGCCGGGAGGGGAGGGGAAGAGGTGCCGTAGGGACTGAGAAATGTCCCCTCTGCGAATCCCAGCTCACCATCCCTGCAGACAGCCCAGCTTTGTGGGGTGACATTTGTACTCATCACTTTAATGTTCTGCTGACATACTTTCTGCATACAATGAAAACCAGGAGTGATGAAAATAAATTAGGAGCTTTCATCCGGGATTGTTTTGCCAATGACACATTTAAATTTTGTGTGTGAAAATCTGGCTCGAGCCCCCATTACTGGGATTCTTCATTTAGCTAAAGATCAAGCAGGCTGCACACCAGGTGATTTTTTTATGTGGATATTTTTCAAAGGCGCTTTAAACAGGAAACAATTTGTCAAATGCTTACGACTGTTTCCTTCTCTGTGGTCCAGTGCTCGGCCTCAGAGAGCTGATCTTCACTCAGCCTTGGAGAAGGTTTTTACTCCAGCTATCTTTCAAAAATTAAAGCATAAGAAACAAGTCACCTCCTTAGCATAAAAACCCCTTCCATGCATGTTTTATCTCTAGGATGTAATTCCCTAACTATTCCTTTAATGAGAAGCACTGGGATATGGTCAGAGGGCTCGTACCTGCTGCTCACACAGACTAGGGCTGTATCCCACCACAGCACCCTCCTTTCTCACCTTTAATGTTCTGATGGTTTTTGAATATGATAAAGCATAGGTGTAACAAGACAATGTTGTTTTCATCATCCCTAAAGTCACAATGTCTCCTAGTCTAACCTTCTACTTGGTCTTGTCTCCCATTGTTCTTCTCCTTGCCAATGCTCACGTGTTTCCCAGCTGATCTCAAGCTGTGCTTTTAGGCCAGGTGAGCTGGGGCTGCAGGCTAAGATTTAAATAAGACCTTGAAAGGTGCTCCCATCCTTTGCAGGGAAGTTCAGCAGCTTTGCATGTGCGGCTTCACTCAGTCTCTAGTGAGTGTAAAACAAATCTATGGAAACCAGTGAAACGCTGGTGAGGGGCAGATTTCTCAACTTTATTTCTTCTTTTAAATGCTTGGAGCAGACACCCATCCTGGGGTTGGGGTGAAGGACCGCGCTTCAATCCAGTCGTCTCTGAGTTGACGCCGCGTTTGCTGCTTTCGTTTCAGGTTTGGTTTCAAAACTGCAGAGCCCGCCATAAAAAACACACCCCCCAGCACACGGTGCCGCCCTCGGGAGCGCCCCCGTCCCGCATCCCTTCCTCGCTCTCCGACGACATCCACTACTCGCCCTTCAGCAGCCCCGAGCGGGCCCGGATGGTGACGCTGCACGGATACATAGAAAGTAAGAGTGGCCTAGAAAGTAAGAGTGGCCGGTGGGGCTGCGGCACTGGGGGGGCTCAGGGGGGCTCGGGGAAGGGCCGGGGGAGCTCCCCCCGGGCAGGCGGTGGCACCACGGCACGGCACTGCCAAAAACACTCCTGCGCTGCGGGAGCTGGGCTGGTGCTTGTGCTGCTCCTCCTCCTCGTGCCTGGTGCGCTTTGCCTCGGGGATTTTCTGAAGGGCTGTTTATGCAGGAGGCTCAGATGAGAGAGGGAGGGGACAGAGGGCTGCTGCTCTTTCCCTCCATGCCTCATCCACAGAAAATCACTGCCTGGGTTTTACCTGACTGGTCCCAGGCCCTCCTCGTGTCCTCTGTGCCGTGGAGGAGAGGTGTGAGTGAGCCCTGCTGAGCTCGGTGCTCAGTGCTCTCCTTCCTTCTCCGAGCGGCAGAGTTGCTTTCTTTAAGCAGTTCCAAGTGCTGGTGAATGATTTGTGAGTGGTGGGCAGCTTTGGTCATGCCAGGATGGAGGTTTTGGCTCCGTGGCTCTTGTGAGGCTTCTCCCCTCCCTCACCTCTGTGGGCTCCTGCCGTGCCTGTTCCACAGGCACCTCTTGCTCCACGCGTGTCCCGAGCTGGCCGTGCAGGTTGGAGGGCCTGTGTTGTTGGTAGTAACAGAGGCTGAAGCCTCTTCTCATCCACAGGTCAGGTACAGTGTGGACAAGTGCACTGTAGACTTCCCTACACTGCTCCACCAGTGCACCTCAAAGCAGACATGGAAGGACCACTATCTAATAGGGGTGAGAAGGTAATTGTAGTCCCTGTTTCAGGCTCTGGGGCCGACCCTCCACTGTAGCAAAGATTTGCGTGTGACATCATTGCCACTGCCATCTCCCATCAGCATCATTGCTTCTCCATGACCTCCCATGTGTCTGTCCTTAGTCTTGGTGGCCCTCGGTTGATGTACCCACTGTTGGTCGAAATGGCATCACTTTGTTCTCCACTAAACACCCCTCGTTGTTGTGAAGTGCTGCATTCCCTGAAGGATCCTCACATCCTCCTGCTGACTCCTCTCTCTGGTTTCTCCCCTTCCCCCAGAGCTCTGTCCTGCTCTGTTCATCTGTTAATAACAGAGCAGGGGGCACCTTCAGCACGTGCTAACTTCCCAGTTTTCCATGAGTTAACAAAAAGGATTCATTGCTTGTGGATTGTACCATTGCTTAAAAAACAAACAAACAAACAACTGACTGTTACAGTATCTGAAGTAGGAATGTTATTTCACAATGTCTGGCCAGGGAACAATATTGCATGTTGATATTTTTCTGTGCAGCGCTTACAGTATCTAATACACGGCTTATTGGGGGCAAGACTTCTCAAACACACTGAGGCTCATAAGATTTTATTTAGGATTCCAGTTTCAGTGACTTTCCTTTGAAGAAACACCGAGCATTTGGCAACTCTTAGTGGTTTTAGCTTTTGTCTTTACTGTTAAAAGTTCTCAGCATCTCCCTTTTCAGATCTCCCTCTACTCAGTGCAGCAGCGGCAGCTTATTGAGCTCTGTTTCAGTGGGCACAGGGAATTTACTTTTCCAGACTAAAAGCTACCATTTTGTCATGATGTCTGCACAGTGAGCTGGAGAGTTTTCAGAAAATATTATACAGTCCCAGTGCTGTCATTCAGAGAAGCTCCACTGCAGCAAGCAGCTCCTGATTTAAACGTAATTACTTGCTCGCAGCTGTTGCAGAATGGGGTTCTCAGGACATGGAGCTGCCCCCCAGACAGCTCCTTTTTCAAACAGTCACTTGCATGTTGAATTCCTAAAAACTGAAACAGCTTTTTTTTCCACATCCAATTTTTTTTTAAAAAATTGGAGATCCTGGGAAAACACTTGGTAATGCTGTGTCTCTGTTTCCCTTTTCCTGTGGGGCACTCCCCCCCCTCCCCTCGGGGTGCCCAGTGCAGTGGCTGGTGAGATCTGAGTTGTGACAAGCTCAGTGGCTGCTTCCCCTGCCCGATGGCAAGGACAGGAGCTGTATTTGCAGAGCAGTGAGGTGAGGTGGTTTGAGGGGAGCCTGTGATGGTTATCAAGGGAAGGGGATAGAGTCAGGACCACTGGTAATGGTCTTTGTCTTTCTTGGTAGCTGCTGTATCACAGCACAAACTGATTGAATGCTGGTTTTGGTGTGCTGCCCAGTTTTGCAGGGTTTCACAGCTGAAGGTGTGCCCAGAGGGGCACCTTCCCTGCAGGCTGTGGTGCCACAGTCCCGTTACCTCCCGCCTGGGCTCCTCAGTGCAGTGCCTGCATCCCAGCAGCTCCTTCCATGGGCAGGGCTGGCAGCTCCCGGGCAGACAGTGCTTCCAGAGGGGCGTTTTCCTGTGGGGAAGTGTCTCCCACAGCAGAGCCCATGTCTGTCCTGCTCTCCCTGAGAGCACTTTGGCACTGTTGAGCGCTGTCTGTCCCCGAAAGCAGCTAACCCTCCGCTCCCGTTCTCCCCCCAGGTCATCCTCTTTCAGTACTGACTGCCCGGACTCTTCCTCACCTGCCCATGGCCCTACCAGCACCACTGCCCCTCAGCCGCTGACACGGCGTCCAGCCCACGGCAACTGGTATCAGTCCCACAGGAGAAGCTCAGACCCAGCGCTCTCAGCTCTTCCCATTGACCAGCACCTCACGCCCACTCCGACTTCTCCAGCGACGCTCTGTGTATGTGTGTGTTGAGTGCAGAGTTACAGTTGACACTTGTTTCTTGTGGACTTGTAGAATGACCGTGAGTCTCTCCGAGGCAGTGCCAGACACAGTCAAAACTAGTGACTCTACTGTGCTTGCAAACCTTGCTCCCAAACCCATGGGAATATGAACAACCCAGAACACGCCGAGTCTCAGGGGGGGTCGATGATCACCTCTGAACACAAAGGAAGGAGGAATTTACGTGGTTTGGCCTGATTCTCTTTTTGCACCAGTGAAGCGGTTCCCGGACATCCCTCCTTATTTCCACTCGCATGTGTGAAATCTGAAATGGGCTTTTTGGCTCAGCAACTCGATACGTAGACAGACCTTCCTGAGCCAAACTCACAGATAGCCGAGACTCCACTAAGTGGAAAACACGATGCCAGCTGGAAATAGGCAGTTTTTCTTCCTCCTCAAAGTGCTTTAGAATCACATGTTCTTTGATCACTCAAAGGTAAGTAAATCTTAGTGTTTTTCCCCCCGTTTTATAGGAGGGGAAACCGATATGTCCTAAACGGAGAGGAACCGTGGGGGTTGGTGGCAGAGCCAGGTTTAGCACCCTGAAGTTTTTGATTGCTGACTTGTTCTTAGAACACGGAATATCTCTCTCCTCTCACAGCCATCTGCCAATTTTTTTAAATTTTTATTTTTTAAATTTTTTTTGCTCTCGTTCTTTATTAACAAACGACTTTATTTCCTTGGAGTCATATCGGATCACAAATGGGGTGATTTCAGAATGTACCTACACAAAACTCTCAGACTCTCCATACTCTGGGACTGGGAAATGCTCAGTGGAAGGTGACCATAAAGGTGTAGAAATGTTCCGCCCTGCTGTGGACCCAAGTTCAATCAGTGGAAACAGTCAGGTAGGAAGTGGAGACCAATTAAAAAGGTGAAGACCACACTGAGGCCAGCAGGAGCGGTCACCAGCCGAGTGGCCAGCGAGGTGGTGGCGCGTTCCTTTGTCTGTCGGCATCGCTCTGAGTCCCTCTGCCCTGCTGTTGTTCTCCCTCGCTGGAGTGCAGCTGGTGGTCCTGCCAGGCCCTGGGATGAAGGTGCAGCCCGAAGTGCTGCCGGCGGGCTCACGGCAACAGCAAAGGAAACGCTCAGCAGTCTGGCCCCGAGTCAGGAAAAAGACTCCGAAATGATCCTTCATTGACGGTAACAACAAAAAGTAAACAAGTGACCTCTGCCAGCCCTTCTCAGTTTGCACCAAGCCAAGAGCAGGTCTGTAACAAAACCTCTCTCCACGCAAGCACACGGGCCCGTCCTGCTGCTAAGTGTCCGTGAGGCCGCGCTTCCGAGAATGTGAAAGCCCACCGTGAGCCGCAGCCAGCGAGGGCAGTGACTGATCCGTGCCCCGGGAGCAGGAGACGGGAACCCGTCCCTTGCGTAACTTGTTTTTAAGTCGAACTGTGCGTGCACGTGTTTTCCTCTCCGGGAGATCCTGGATCCATCTCCAGCCTCGTCCATCCCGCTGCTCCGGCCGGTCCCTGCTGCACACATGGCAAGGCTCCTCCTGACCGTGGCCCTGAACTCCCTGTGACACCAGCGGCCAGACACGTGGCCTGAGGAGATGGGGGCGTCTGCTGAGGTGGCCACCAAGGTCTCTTGGTTTGAGAAGCAGCTGAGTACAAGCACACACTGATATTGGTTGGAGCAAATACAGATGTACACGCACACACACACTGTGCTGTTGGGTGCACGTGTAAATACTGAGAGAGTGATGGTACTACCTCGGACAGGTAGGCCAGTATCTGTCTAGTTGCAGCCAGCAGCTCTGTCCCAGTTTAAAATAACATTTGAAAGGAGAGAGGGAATTAACTCCAGACAATATTATTGTCACCTCCAGTGTGTGTGCCCTGGGACGAGGCACTGCCTGCCCTGACTGGAAGCAGCTCTGCAGAGGTGTCCCCTTGGGGAGGGGACGGTCACCAGTCACAGCAGTTTTTGTCCCTGCCTGTAGCAATGAGTGAAGGAGTGGTGTTCCCTTCGTTGGCTCCTGGTGAGTGTTTGTAATCACAGGTTGAGGTGGTTGCTGGGTTCATGTGCAACAGCCTTGAGATGCTGGTGGGGGTCGGGGGGGGTCACCGCGGCCGACTTTGTTCTCCATTTGTGCTCACGCATCCTGATGACCATTTAGTTGTGGAATTCGTGCCGTTATTTCATTTAAGACTGAAGGAGAGACTTCAGGCTGTAACTTGCCCTGACATCCCACAGTCCTTGAGATTTCCACAACTGTTTTTGTGGAGGGAGAGAAGGGTTCGATGTGTTTCTCTTCTGTCTCGGTGGTGCAACGAAAGGAAAACTATGAAATGTGTATCTGCTAAATACCAACTCCATCAAAAGAAACCCCACCTGTGACATGTGCTGTCTGTCCAAGGGTTTGTCACCGATCCCACGGCAGGGCCGGAGCGCCAGGCAAGGGCTGAGGGGGTGTAGGTGTTTCTCTCCAGGGACGTGGGCTCACTACAGACTGTGCTCGGGGCACTTCCCCCCATAAGTAGCCAGGAGCAGCTTTGCTAATTCAGAAATCAGGCTCTGTTTATATTAAGCCCAAATTGTTTGCAAAAACTGGAAGCAATTCAGCTTGTGCAGTTTTAGAGCTAATTATGTGTATGGAAAATACTCAACTGTACCAAGAATGTAAGAAATCTTCTAATTTATTCAATACATTGTTTCACAACATATTTCACACTGACTGTTGCCACTGAACCAAACCTTATCTCAGGTCATTTGCATTCATCTCCTGTCTGTGGATTAAAAAAAAAAAAAATAAAATTAAAGTCATTCTCATTTTCTTAGTTTATTCAGTAATTGCCAGATGGGTTCTGGTGCAGCAATGCAGACTCCACGCACTAAACTTTTCCAGTTGCTATTTACAAAGCCTTTTGCAGACAGAACCCACTGAGGACAGCCAGTGAAAGGCTCTTCACTCCAGTTTAATAAGGTAACTAATACAGCTCGGCTCTGGAAGTGGAATGGTTTAAGGTTTTCTATCACCAGTGATTTTTTTTTTGGCTCATGCTGGTTAACCCCAGTGCCTGAGCTAAAAGGTGCTTACACAACTCACTCGTTGGGATGGGAGTGGGAACCAATCCTGCACTACTATCAGTGATTTATCTGTAGGATGCCAACTAAACACCAGTTTTCTTTCATCTGCCAATCATTTTGTTGTAGCATGTTGCAATTCTGCATGTCTTGGCTACAATGGTTAAAAAATTTTTTCTCTGAATGAGTGGACAGTCAAGACTAATATTTATTTTAAAAAAGTAAAACTAAATTGTAAGCACTTTTTTGTAAAACCAATGTCTGTTTTGTTACATACTTTTAATGTTGTGCTTTGTAAATGTCTTATTTGTGTAATAAATAAAGTTAATGCAAGTAGAAGTGCTGGCACTTACATCCAGAAAATGATGTAATTCCATTTTATTTTATTTTTAAATACTTTCTGGCTTACTAATCAAGCAGCAACCCACCCAGTTTTCCTCTTTTATTATTTTGTTAAACTCTGGCTTCAGGAGAGTTCAACAAACGTTCGTAGTAAATGGATATAATTTCCTAGTTAGCAAACCAGTCATTAAAGAATACCTCTGGTGTACATTATTACAATGATCAATCAATATCAAAGTACCGAGCAAAAAGAGAGGAAAGGAATTCACCAGGACAGCTAACTAAAATCTGGGAAAATAATGTTGATTAAGATGGATTTGAATGGCTTCAACACCGAATCTGAGGCACTCCTTTTAACAAATTGTTTTCAGGCTTAATAATGTTTATACATACTACACTGCACACCTCTCAGGAATATTATTGTGAGTACAGTCGGCTTTTTTTTCCATGGCTTTTGCTCAGCATGACTGATTAAATGATTATTTCCATTTTTGTTTGTGCTGACAGAGATGACAGAAAGATTATATTCCTGTCGAGGGAGAGGGTGAGACAAATCCACGAGGACAAATTGCATTTATTGTGACTCAGATTACCTGCTTTGCTGGAATATTATTGTCTAGCGAGATCGGGTTTATGGTTTCGGTTTGTGCTCAGCTCTTCCACCCCCAGCTTTCCGGCAGGTCCGAGTGATCCATTCATGCTCATCATCGTCTGAAAGGGAGATAAAGAGAGCGCTAAACATCCCCGTGTCAGAGCTGCTCTCTGCAGCTCCGGGGTCCGGCTCAAACAAGCAATTTTTCCTTTGTAAAGCAAATCCATTTTTAGCCCGTTGTCATCTCTCAGAACACTTTTTTGTTGTTGCTGTTGTTGTCGTTTGTTTAAAAGATCGTGTGCTGTTGTGAGGGAATTTGTCAAGGCAGGAGGTGCTGGGTCTGTGGCAAGGAGTGATTTATTTGTCTGTTTGAAAAGCTTATCTTGGGTGAACTGTAAGATTTACATGTAGAGATTTTATATTTTGTGTTCTGGGCAAAACACGCAGGAGAAGCGTTGAAACTCCCAGAAGTGAAAATAGCCATTTTTTAAAATACTATGCCTGTGTTGCTTGTCAGTTCATGAAAAATGAAAGTAAAGGAAAATCAATACTAAAACCCCAGGTTTTTGTCTTCCAGCTTCTCTTTCCATGCTGTTTTTGAGATGTACGTTGTGGCAGGTATCCATAAGCTGATGCAGTGGCTGACAGACATATTTTAGACCATCTTCTGTGTCCCTTGTTAGTATTCATGTCTGTCGTATTTATTCTGAGAGCATAATGACAGTGTGGAAAGAAAATAAAAGCAAAGACAATGTAGGAAAAAAAAAAATAACAGCCCAGCAAAGTTTGAATGGAAATTTTGTGTATGATTACAAAAAAATAGCCTGGTGAATGTTAAGTTGTGGCTTCTTGATTCCAGGGATTTAAACAGTCTTGTCTCTGTTCTGCAGCCTTTTCTTTTGTGTTGGTGTAGGGGAAAGGAGATCTATGTAGTAAACCAGGAAAACCAAACTTCAAAGAGCCTTGGAAAAAATCAAAGTATTACTTGAAACAATATCTGTATTTATTTTTCTATAAGTGAAATGTATTCGAGCTGCTTCTTGTGTTTACCACTGTCTTGACAAATCCATGTTAGGTGGTTGTGATGTGCATTTCTAACCCGCCTCAGCCTTGATTTTGAGAAAGAATGGATGATTGGGAGGAGGATGGAGCTGGGGGAGCTGTGACCATCCTTTGGCACAGGCCACAGCCCCATTTATTCACACCCTGAGCACCCTGCTTAGGTGGGTCAGAAAAGATGGAGAAAAAGCATGTTCCCTGTAAGAAGTCAAATTTTGATGGAGATCTTTTGGCTGGGGAGTTGTACCTGGAGATTAAAGTGACAGAGGAGCATTTGAAATGCAAAAGGTAGGAAAGGTCCCGGGAATGAACTGACTGAATAATCAGCTGTGTTGGGGTAATCTAAGAACTATGTGACAAATCCACTCTGTAGCACAAGTCATCAAGCTGGGGGGGGGTTAATCTTATTTGATCAGCTTCGGTGGGGAGGGCCCACCTTTGAGCAGCACCCCAGAGGCTGGGAATGGGCTGAGGGCACACTGGGGCTGCCACTGTTCCCACAGATCAGCCACAGGTCACTTTAATGACTGGAAAATGGTCATAATTTGGGTAGAATAGCCAAGTTCAGCTCTTTCTGTGTTTCACTGATCTCTTTTTTAATTCCTTATACCCAGGAATCCATAGGTCCTTAAGGAAATGTCCTGTTAATGGCACGTTTCTTGTTGGGGTATAAACTAGGGGGAAAACAGATGGGGAAAAAATATGCTAAAAGGGAAATGGAAGAGATGAGCACTGAATGTTGCTTAAAGACCACGCAATCCTTAGAGGCAGATTCCACTGTGGGCTGCAACAGGAATGCAAATGTGGTCCTTAAGCTTTCTTAAAAACAACAGCCAGGCCATAATCAATGTGCTGGCTTTTGTTCTATGCACTAGGTGTTCCAGACAGTAACGATGTCATCACGTGAGCCCTTGCCTGCAGCACAGATTGTCCAGCCTGGGTGGCTCTGAGATTTTAGCTGGAATTGCCTTAACTAAAAAAAAAAAAAAAAAAAAAAAAATAGTTTATCTGAGCTTGTAGTAATGGCAGGAAAATGAAACTTTCTCTGCCACGGTGGAGGAATAAGCAAAACTTACACAAGCTGTACATCAGCAGTGTTCAGCTGCTATCTGGGTATATGTGCCTCACCTGAGCACTAGAAATAAGCAGCCTGACTTCTTCTGGAGCCATCAACAACTCTCACTCAGCTGAGCACCCAGGGATAAGCACAAAGAAAGGCAGGTGTAACTTTGCTCCTTCTCACAGGTTTCCAACCTATCCGTGGTTTGCCCAGATCGTTTCCTTCTGCATTCTGGGTGTTCCTGGTCTCTGAGCAGAGCACACAAGGCAAGTAGCTCCATGGATTTTAGCCTCCCCAGACTTATCCCAAAATGCCTCTGTTCATGCAGTGATCTGATCCCATGCAAATTAAATCTGTGTTCATAAGCTCTGCTTAACTTGCATATAGTTTAATCCGATGTAAAACTGACTGAACGAGTGAATTTAAACTTTGTGTACGAGAAGGAAAGAACAGATGTAATGGCTCAGTGTGAAGTAAATCCCTGGAACTGCCACCCAACCCAGCGTTCTGTACCACTGGTCCCTGGTCTAGGTAAGGGGAAATGAAAGAATTGATCCAGCCCAGCAAGAAGAACCACAGCCCCAGAGCAGAGAATGGCTCCAGGGCTGGCTATGGCAGAGGAGGCAGGGAAATATTAGAATGTAAAGAGTTAAGCTATGGTAAAACATACTTTTGCTACACTAAAGAAGACTGGTTGATAATTACTGTAGTTTTAGGGCTATTTGAATCAGTGCAGCTGCAACCTCTTCAGTAGTAACCCCTGAAACAAGACAAACTGGGTTTATTGTACTGAACAAGTCTTAAAGCTCCTCCCTGATTGTTAGTAATTGGCAGCAATGGACTTAACAGCCTCTTGACTACCCTTTTTACACTCTACCTGACTGTGCAGCTAACAATTTAAATCACAGATGCCGATCCTTCTTTGTGGCAGCTGCTTGTTAACTACACGTTCCTCTTTTTCTGTCACTGGCTGCTTCCATAACCCTGCAACACCAGGGTTAGATTGGAGAATCACATTTCATCAATATTTAAAATGGAATTAAACCTTGAAGTTTGATTAATGCTACCAGATAGTGAGTTGTAATTACTATTTTGCAAATTGCAATTGTTTGAATATGTTAATATGATTGTCTAAGCACATCTTCACCTTCAGAAGTAATTTTCCTTTTAAAAAAGATTTGAAAAAAATACAAACTCTTTAATCAGTGCTAAATTATCCCCCTGTGCACAATTAGGTGGTATGGGGTTCTTCGTGTGATGTGCTGAATTTTGGGTCTGCATATTTATCTTTAAAAAGTTTATCCCTTTTTTTTAGATTTTCCTCAGTAGAATAAACATTGAGGGAACAGACTTTGCTGCAACAGGACCGTGTTGATGTTCGAAGGTAAAGGAAAAAAGCTTTGTCTGAGCATTTTGTTGCAATCTGGTGTATCCCTGTGCAGTTAGTAAATGTTTACCAGTGTTTTCTTCCAAAGTCAGTGAAATAGAATTATTATTATCATGGCATGTTATTGAAATCTCGAAACTGAGACAGACAGAGCTGTTGGAATATATGTAAGTACTGACTGATTCTCTTGAATTATATCCTCGTGTCTCAATCAAAAATATGATCAGTTTCTAGCACCCCCTAAATATATTTTGAATATTGTGGGTGAGATCCTCAGCCAGCCCACACTGGGACGGCCTCTCTTTTATTTTTGTGATTAATTCAGGCTGTTTTCATTGAGCAGGCAGAGGCATATGGAGCCAACCCTGGTGGGCACCTGCACGACCGATCCCCAGAAACAGCATCTCCCACAGTAGATGATTATCCAGGGGTGCAGATCCTCCTGATCTCCTGTTGGGCACTGTCTACACAGTCAACAGGTCAGTCTGGAGAGTCTCTTTAGGCAAGTAAGACCCAGCTAAAGCTGTTGGTTGTATCGTGCTCCTGTAAGTAGCCTGTTCCAAAATTAGTTCTTCTCACCAAATACCGCTTGGCAAGTGTTTGCCTTGTTTTGGGTGGCTTTAGGGGAAGCTCCAAGTGCCAAGTCCAAACAGGTCTGCCAAAACCCCTGCTAGGTGTGTTCCAGAGTGAGCTCAAACTGCAGCTCACCCAGGTCAGTGGATTTCTGCTCAGCATCTCTCCAAAACGAAACCACTTGCCTGATTTTCAATGATCAGTCTAAAAGCAGTGGCAGAAGAGACTTCCCCAGCTACCACACTCCAGATTTATCTCTCAGCTGGGATTAGAAACAGCTGAAAATTCAGGGTGGCCTTGCTCCAGGGTGCTTCCAAGGGATGCCTTGCAAACACACTGTAATTTAGGTGCGTTTAATCTTGCTATATTAAATGCATATTGCAAAGTTTAGAATTATTTGCTTCTAGCTATCGTGTTTCCGTGTTGCTTATGGAAACCTCAGCTGTGAGAGACTTGTGAGGACTCTGCATGTTTAGGTGTCTGCCATGGTGCAGAGCAGAGACCATCAGCAAAGGCAGGATGGCCATGTAGACTTCTGGATTTGGCCTCTTGAATGCGTTCCCAGGAACCCACCTAGAAGATGTTTTGGGATTATAATATTTAGTGGCTTGCACAGGGGAAAAACTACACTGTTCACCTCAAAAACCTTGTGTGTGTTAGGTCTTTGTAGCTGAGTGTGATCCTGGTGGTTTAAAGGCTGGAGCCCTGATGCACTCCCCAGTGCTCCCCAAAATTCAGAGCCATGGCTCCCTGCCCTGCCCTGCCCATGGGCAAGTTGTGACCAGCTGTGATGGGCATTGTCCCTTTGTTCTCTGGCTTCTGGTAAAGTCCCTGGGAGCCAGGAGGGAGGGAAGTCATTCCCTGGTCTGTGCTTCCCCAGGACAGGGAGTGCATCCTGGGGAGCAGCCCCGTGGGCAGAGCAGCTCTCCGTGCCCACGGTTTGTAGGGCTGTGTTTACAACAGGCCATCCTCCGACAGGAGCTGAGCTTCCTCTCTGTTTGCAGAGGGCCAAGCACCCGCAGCCCATTGTAAACAACAAT